GGCAAAAGGTATTAATATGCTAATACTTATATATTATTATACCTAAGTACTTATAATACCTACTTTTTTAATACGGATTTTTTTTTTTTAAATAGGTAATAATAACTAGGCCTAAATAAAAAATTTTTCTTATTATAAAATCTGCAGCAAAAAGAATTTTTTAAAGTAAGGAAAACCTTCGTTCTACTCTAGTCGTACCTCCTTACGTTAAAAACGAAGGCATTCTATAGATATAGATTTCGGAGGGATACAGATAAAATAGCCCACTAAGCACTGGTGCTGTGTGGGTTTAATAAGGTCAGACCCACAGGTAACCCGCAGATCTGCCAGGCCACTTGACAGGGGCCCGCATACGCTAAGATAGCGCCTAACGGTAAGTACCTTAATGCCTGCTGCGAACATCCTTGGCGAATCCCGAATTAGGTGCTGTGGTGGACACTCGGGAGACTTGCTCAGCTTCACCCAACTGACGCTGACGGTTCCTCTATTCCAAGGCGGAACTCCTCTCACGTTGGCGTCTAAATAAAGATAAGGTTGCATTTCCCTGCTCTACGGTTCCACGTACCGTAGGCACGATGATGGAGATGATGGAGTCCCGAGCTTTACCTCCATGCCAGAAAGGGTCGGTGTCGTACCCTTGGCTTATAATAAACTGTCAACCTACTGATGTAAGTAAGGGCGGCTTCTTATTACGGCTTAGGGCATGAATACCCATCCTCATCTTCGTCAGCATATGAGTGAGGATTTCAGTATCCAACCGCGATGGCGTCTTATATATGAGGTGGGTTAGGTAGTCTGACGTGTTTCCGATCTCTCGGGCTCTTCTATCTCATCTTTGACGCAGAGGAACGCCGTCTGCCCATCGCCATGAGGATCGCTGTTCCCATTGCCTTGCTTCTCGCTGAAGCGGGCGTGTCATACGCTTCGGCATGGCAAACCCTCAACACTACCGTGGGGGGTCGACTGAGGATTTCCGCACCGATCGCCCTGCCTTGTTTCTCCCAATTCGGCGGTGTCTTCAATCGCGTGGACGACGCGAGATGTACGACGGTTCGGGAGGATTGGAAGACGGGGACGTTGCGGACCAATTTCCCCGGCGCTTTCATGAATTTACAGAGCGAGGCTTGCCTCTCTGAGCCTGAGGACCAGTGTCTTGTCGACAACACCGTAACACCGGCCGGCGTGCCTGCGAAGAAAGCCGTATGCAACCAGGGAAGCGTGCCGTCCTTCTACATTGAGATCACCAAGGCTTCCGATGTGACCGCGGCCCTCAAATTCGCCAAAGAGCACAAGGTTACCCTTTCGGTTAAGAATGCAGGGTAAGCAGGCCACAGAAAACATTGAAGCCTCATAGTACTTCCTGTCACCTGGAGCTTCGCCATTTGTCTCTGAGAGGGGCTCGTGGTTCCGGAAAATGCGCGTGGCTAACACGGTGGTAGGCATGACTACATGACACGCAACTCGGGAAAGCACACCCTGAGTCTCTGGACGCACAATTTACAGGGCATGGAATATCGCGACTCATTCGTGCCTCAAGGATGTAAAGACAATGTGGGTAGAGTCATGATTGTCGGCGCTGGCACGCCTAGTGGCGACGCGCACGTTTTCGCCGACAAGCATGATAGCGTCATCCTAGGACCGTATTCACCAACAGTGGCCGTTTCCGGTGGATGGCTGCTGGGGGGCGGCCACGGTGTTCTGGGGCCGGTCTACGGAATGGGAGCAGACCGTGTCATCGAATTCCATGTTGTAACCCCGGATGGCAAAGAGCGCATTGTCAATGCGTGCCAGCATCCCGATTTATTCTTCGCTCTGCGTGGCGGCGGTGGAAGTAGCTTCGGCGTGGTGCTCAGCGCCACTCACAGTGTCATACCTCGCAAGCCCATCGCTTTTGCCGATGTCCATCTCCCTTCCAACATCTCATCCGAAGTCGCCCTGGAATGGATAAAACTTTTGGTCGATGAATCCCTAGAATGGGGTCGCCAGGGCTGGGGTGGACATGTTGCTGGCACAGTGAGTAGCAATATTCTCACGTTTTCTCTCTCTTCCCTGGCGAAGCTTGGAGTATGGGTCCCTCTTTGGGGTTGATCATGCGCCGGAAGCTTCGCACGACTTTGTAATACTTACACGCCACCTCGGATGGAAATAACTAACCATGTGTGCTGTAGTACGTTACTCATTTTAACCCGACCTCGGATTACATTTCCGACAATGGCGCTAAGGCCCAAGCCTCGTTCCAGCGAGTGACGGACTTCGCCCTGGCTCACGGGGGCACCAGCAACGTCGCCATATACCCAAACTGGCTTTACATCTGGAATAAGTTCCTGTTGCCACTCGACACAATGCAAGGCGGCAATATGGGTATGGGTTCCAGTCGTCTTATACCCGATGAGCTGTTCGCATCCGAGAAAGGGAAGAACAAGCTCATGTCGTACTTCCGGTCGATTGCCCAGCTGGGTTTCAACCCCGTGAATTTCTACACTCCGGTGACCACGCCTTTCACGTACCAGAGATTACAAGACCCAGCGGGCTTTGCGACCCAAAAACTCAACACGTCGCTAACACCAGCGTGGTACCGCTCGCTGTGGCACTTGCAGACGATCGGCTCGATGGCGTGGAACAGCTCGTATGAAGACCGTGTGAAATTCGTTACCGACTTGACGAACTCTACCGTGCAACTCGAGGCGGTTGCAGGTCCTAACGCCGGTACGCATTTCAATGAGGCGAATCCCTTCATGACTGGTTGGCAAACGTCGTATTACGGCCGCAAGAATTATGAGAAGTTGCTCAATATCAAGGCGAAATATGACCCTGCGAATATCCTGACCTGCTGGAAATGCATCGGTTTTGAAGACAAGAAAGACATTGCGTCTTCTCGGTATCACTGTCAGGGGAAGCTTCAACAGGATGTATACAAAAACCCAGGACTGAAGCCGAGCTCATAAAGAGGCCTCGAGCACAGTTAATCCTTCTCAATGATTCGCTCAAACACATTGTCCGTCCATAGTCTATGCTGTCCCTATTAAGTGAGAACTCGTGATACTTCCTCGTATGAATCGTCTCCCCGTTTTTAAACATATTATACATAAGCTGGTGTAGTGGCGGCGCTTCATGAGGACACCTCGCACAGACAGCCTTGGCGCCCGAAACTTCCTCCAGCTTATCTCTCTATGTTTCCGCATGTTCGCCATTACTTGGCCGTCAGGACACGAGGTTTAGTTTAGGCCGCGGCGAGAAGTGTGCACAATGAACATCACTATTAGCGCCTAGCTGGCCTTAGTCAGTCAGGTATTTCGCATATTCCTTAGAACTAGCCGACCATCTATCTGTGCATCGGGAGTTTGCACCAAGAGGAGCATTTCAAGGTATTCAGGACGACCGTGGATCGGTGATAGGGATAGGCACGATTCCGAAGAAGCCATTAATCCTTAAGGAGCGAGATAGTCTCGCGAGTCAATCAATGCAACGGAGCGTACATAGAAGCATGGATATATATGGAGTTCCTCGGCTTAGATTCATCTAGTGTGCACTGCATCTCGCTCTAATTATCTCGACCTCATCACGAGCCGAGCCGTCTACGTCTCGGGAGGCTCGGTATTGAGAGTGATACTCAGCGCTAATATCGTGAACTATCTTCCTGAGGGAAGTAGTACTGAATCCTGCGCAGGATCAGTTGATGTCGTCTAGTCATATGCCTCCTCTACTCTTTTTTGAGCAAAGGCATTCTCGGGAGACGAATACAACAAATGCAGCGGGACGAAAGCGCCTCATAGCCGGTAGGAGCTCGAGAATCTGAGATGACGGACGAATAGAGCCATCCTGTGACAGCGTTCCAGCCCGCCCAGCTGAGCTTGTCTCCTCTCGCCCTCGTGCGCCTGCGATGCCGTGCGGCCGAGCGACTCTATAGCGCGCCGTATCATGAGCCTCTTGCGTTCTGGCAGAAACCCGGCAGCCTTACCTCTCACCAAACTTTGTCGAGGATGAGCCACGCGCCAGCAGGTATTCGGCTTCGATCTAAGACCATGACGATATCATTAATTCCCACCATCTGCCCAAGTCTGGATTCTAGGATATACCTATAGAATGTATGCGCTATGCTACGGTCAGAGATGTTCTAAAGAAAATAAGTGCTTGGGAAATATAAGATGTGCGAGATCTGCTCAATCACCTAGAATGGTGAATTAAGACAGCAAGGACACGGTGCCCGATAAAACACAACACCACTGGATCATTGGCAGTACAGCGAAAACGCTCATCAGTTGGGGCCGATGTAGGTGTCGTCAATGTATGGTACGAAGAGAGGTAGAATCCACTGAAGAGGTAGCATACGGGGAGAGGGTTGAGATTGATGCGGTCGGGCAGATACAGTCGCCTATGAGCCTTGAAAAATAAGTACCTAAAACATCTTGTTATCCGTGTACTCCACATTAGAACGTGGTAGTATAGTAGGTTAGGAGGTATATACGCGTGTGTAGAGTGCCAAAAATTGAAGCCGTCACGAACCGGAACTTGCTAGCTGTTGCACCACGGCCCACAGCTCCATAGGTATCTGCGCCGGTTCTTAAAGTACCAGGAGGTACGAAGTACACTACGAGGTACACTACCTACATGTACGTAGATGGTAGGTACCTAGTAGACTGGAGCTAGAGGGAGGGGGTAAAGAGAACACAGCGCATTCGAAGAATTTCTTCGTTGCCGTATTCCTCTACCTTCTCCGATTGAAGGGGCGGTTTTCTATCCCATCCAGTGACTTCTCGCTAAGCTCAGTTCAATAGCTATTTACTTAGCAATGACTGCATGCAACAACACCGATAGGAGGGGTTGACAATATATGTGATAAAATCTGAAGTTTTGGAATAAGCTATCTCGTGTATTGAAAAAAAAAACAGAAGAGGAAGAAAAAAGAAAAAGAAAAAAGGAAAGAAAGCAAGGAAGATGTACTCTGATGTTACAAGAAGGGGAAAAAAAAAGATTGCCGACCTCGCGGGGCATGTAGGAATTGAACCCAACCCGATTTGAACGGATGACCTTCTGGAGGCAGTTTTACACATTACAGGGGCCGAGACCCTAGTAGATGGTATTTTTTAAGCTGGAATCAGATGCTCTACCGCTGAGCTATGGGTCCAGTGTTGAGGGAGGGGGTTGTAGTTTTGGTAGATTTGCCGACACGGAAAAATGACGAACGAGGTACGAAGGCTTCGTACCGTAGCGGAAATACAACCCGAAAATACCTTTAGGCTCTGGGCTTTAGACTCGTTTAAGCTTTCCGGAGAGAGGGCGGTCGGAAGCGGCAGAAACTACCTATGTAAGTATCTACGAAGTAGGACTGCTGATTATAGGTACTTGATGGGTCAGCAGAGCACTCCATCACTTTGTACCACTGTGCGCCTCTACAAGCGCTAATCTGGGGATCTTCCAATACGACGTATAGGGGTGCATGCATGTCAAGGACAAATTCGACAATTGAGAGGTGGCTCTTGTATTATCTTATCAAAAGCCTCATCCAACAAATAAGTCAGCCGGCAACAAACGGCGAGATTTCCACTTAATCGCTAACGTAGGACCTTGGAAGTTCCGTGTCTAGCCCCCTACACCAGCCACGACGCCACGTTGTAAGTCCCTCAGACTCTACACTTCGAAGTAGCGGATATTGCTCTCTCAGAACAACGTTTGTAAATTGGCTTTGCGGTATCTGATGGTCTTCGAAATAATAGGCTCATCGAGAGTCTCGCTTCAATGCTGACACCTTTGTTCGGCGGATGCACAGGTATAACTACTATTAGCAGCAGCACACTCAAAGCTTGGTAAGACAGGCAAATCCACAACCTGCAGCAAGTTGGCCACAAAATGTCCACATATTCAGGTGGAAGAAAGTCTTGAGTAGACAGCTTGCGCAGTAAATTTTAGAGGAAGAAATGGTTGAAACAATTATCTCAGCTAAGGGCACTAGAAAAACAGACATAAGTCAGCATAGTGTTATCAACAGGGAAGAGATATGCTTGGATGCTTGATGAAGAACCCCCGTCCCCTCAAAAAAGGGGAAAAGAGGAGGGGGGGTAAACAATACATAAAATAATTCAAAGAAGTTAAACAACAAGTTAAGTATATTAATATAGGATTGAAAATGGTAGCTTCTTTTAAACTCTAAGATGACAAGAATTTACACCTTTACTTTCAATGTGAATCAAGTTTGAAATAATTGTTTAACACTATATAAATCAGGCAGGCTTGTACTTAATTGTTTATGTATAACTTTAGGTTTTAAAAGATCACCATGCTTGCCCAATGTTAGCAAATTCATGTCTAGCTTGAGGATCTGCCTAGTCGATTTTTTATCAGGAGCTTAGGCAGTTATAGCAACATGTTTTCACAAGTGGTATACAGACATGTAAAGTAAAGAAAGAGATACACAGGGGTCTAAAGACTGGGAGCATAATTTTGAATTACATGAAGTGTCAACAGTTGGGGTACAAGTATGGTGCATGCTGGAAGTATCATGTACTTATGTCGCAGAGTGCATATATACCGTTAATCCAGACCGGGGATTAACGGCGTCGTTTTTCCATCACAACTTATTATTAGGGAATACCAACTGTTGCCACGGAACTAGATGTATTTTGCTGGTAATTTGTAGTTCACAGGAACCTTTGAGTAACCTGTGTTTCTAGTAGCCCTTCAGCATGCTTTATTTGCCAGGTATCAGGGCTCAATGCTCTTCATATCTTGTGAGCCAGGTGTTAGTCATAGGCTAAAGTAAATCACATAGGCATAGAAAAGCAGAAAAGTACAACTACTGGTGACTTGGGGTGGCAACATATAATGACCTCACAAAGTAGTGACTTTAATAAGAGATCATCTCTGTCTACTCAAGTACTTAACTAGTGCATGACCAAAACTGGCACACCACTCCTCAAAGAGAAGGAAAGAGTCCAAAGTTGTCAGGGCTTGTTTTAATTCCAGTTGAAACTTGCATTACCTGCACAAAGGTGTTCCAGTACCTACTAGGGTGTTGGTCCCACAATGTAACACGGAGCAGATTTGGTGTTAAGAGGCGGCCTAGCCACCACTATTCCGGGCTTCACCTCCGTAATAGATCCACTTATCCCCGGTCCGGACTGACCTCAAGCCCTACTTTGGCCCCGAGCATTCAGCAAACAGGGCAGCAACTCAACGGCGAGGATGGTGATAGCCACGTAAATCATGTGATGAAAATTTTCTGCTCGGCTTGGAGCACACAAATAATTATCTATTTAATCTGCTTCTTTCCATCTTCCCCTCCCTCCACTTCCCTTCACTTCTCTCATCCAAGTGGGATCAACACAACACAACACCAACCCCCGCTCCCCATCTACCAGTGCATGGTAAAGTCCAAGCAGAACTGAAGACTACCATCAATTCCTGCTCATCAGTAGGTAAGAAAGATTTATGTTGCCCTTACTGGCATTTGATCATCATTCTTCTCATCTGCATGGCCTTGCCGCACCTCCTACACTCAGCATAAACACCAGCCCACATCGTCTTCCCGACACTTGCCTACAAAGCCCACACACAACCAGTTTTCTGTTCATCAAACCTTGCTGTCTCCCAACTACTTGTCTCGTGAGTTGCGAGCATAGAGGTATCTTTCCCTGCTATCCACCTGCGTTCAGCCGCATCCTGCCCCCTTTTCTTCATCAACTCTCGCGTCTCGTCGACTCTCGTACTCGACGCCTACACCTATCCGCTAAAAGCTTTTTCATTAAAACTAATCATAGAGAGCCATCAGCCGACGAGAAGGACGAGCATCATGTCAACCGAAGGGAACGATGGTCAGGCAGAGGCCGGCCAGCTGACCCACACTGGCACTCCCCCTGACCACGATCCTACGCGGGCGCTGGCAGAACTTTCGCACAGCCGGTTCAATTTCTACCGCTTGTATTTCCCTTTGATGCCTATGCCCATCGTGACGATTGGTCCCTACCCGTTTGGCCGGCAAGCCTCAGCACTTGTCCCTCAACGCCCTGTTATCGATGCCAGTGGCGGTCCGGTTAGCTCTGCTTACCAGCTCGCCTCTGCACTTGTCCCTCCACACCCTGTTATGAATGTCAGTGGCGGTCCAGTTGGTTCTGCTAACCAGCTTGCCTCTGCACGTGTCCCTCTACACCCTGTCATGAATGCCAGTGGCGGCGGTCCGGCTGGCTCTGCTAACCGGCTCGCCTCTTCTGCTCCCACCCGCACTTTCGTTGCTATCAACGCGCCAGAACTCTCCGGACCTACAGAGTTTCCGCTCTTTCAGCGTCTCGCTCCTGAGATTCGCATCATGATCTGGAAGTTAGCGATGCAGGAGCCCCGCCTCGTTCATCTTCGTGCCGACTTTTTCGACATCGGGCGCTCTAGACGTCGTGGACGCCCTACTCACGTTAAGCCCTACTGCTGGATCGGCGACCAGAAATACGAGCAGGTCCCCGCGTTCCTTCTCATCAACCGTGAGTGCCGATATTTCGCCCTCAGATGGTACTCGATCCGTTTCTCCGTCCTCGAGCGGCTTGCTTCATGCTCCGAGTATGGAGTATTCCGTCGTCAGTTGCGGGAGACCAATCTTATCATGTCTCCCACTGACATCCTGGTAACTTGGCACACGGAGGATATGTTGGTAAGTCCCTCACTTCTATTATGATCATTTTTTGAAAGCAAAACCCATGGTTGAGACGTCCGTCAACATGCTTCGGATAACTCCACGCTTTTGGAGCACAAGGGCATGTATGAGGGTCAGCTGTAATGGCGATGGCTAATCTGAATCACCATCGACGAATAGATGCCACTCCGGTGGTACTATCACCGGGAATTCGATGACGACGGTCCTCTCGAATACAAGCGCTTCAATCACACTATTACCTTCGGCGACGGGGCACGTCATGTTCGCAACGTAATGACCCGGCCATGGTCCACCCCTCATAATGAGAGCAACGCCGTGCGGTATTATCACTCGATGCGTGAGTTGCTTGACTGGCTGCTGGAACGTCTCGGAAACAAGCGCACGCTCGAGAAGTTATACGTTTTGGGCAGGAAGGGATCCAGCCCTCTCATGTACGAAAGCGCTTACCAATCGGATGAGGTATTCCGCCGATTCAGATACCGGCCCATTCAATTGGATCCTGTCAAGGGCGAATCTTATGAAATTTGGTTCATGATTCCTCGAACCCAGGTAATTAGCCATACTACCCATCTTGAACAAGTACACTGCTGAAAGGTTAAAGGTCAAGCAGTCAAACGCAAACGCAAACGCAAACGCAAACGCAAACGCAAACGCAAACGCAAACGCAAACGCAAACGCTATCGAGGGCTAAATATTCCCGCGATTCGAGTAGCGAAAAGGGGGGAAGCTTTGCCGCTCGGCAACGGAATCTAACGGGAAAAGGACGTTTCTCGCAAAACGGCACATCAGTCGGATGGACAGCCGTGGCCTCCCTCCTGCGGCATTATTCCTGGTGACCGTCTTGATGTGGAGGGACAGACGAAAAGAAGGCAAAGAGATCTCTCCACAGCACGGCGGGGGGCAGGGGAACACATCACTATCCAAGTGATAAAAAAAGCAAGGCTTTGTTGTTGAGCCTTTAGGTAGCCGAGTTGTCATTCTCATATCTCTTGCCGAGCCATAATTCTCTACGGGGCGATGAAGGCATACAGAGATGAATAGCTACTAATACGATTGCGATTGTTTTTCAATGGTCCAACATAGTTTGTAACTGAGTAGAGGCTGAAGAGACCCTGGATATACCGGACTGAAGCCCGTAACAGAGCCCTTAGGAGCTGGATAGTTGCGTGATCTGTGGCCATTCGCGATTCAATCATCGGCCATTGCTACTTCGCCCAAAAAAAGAAAGAAAGAAGAAAGAAAAAGCACCATCGATGTGGAAAAGGTAACGATATCTCGATACACTACGTAGAGGTCCACGGTACTAAGCCCTGATCGCAGGAGATGCTCCGATTGGTCTTCGGGGATAACACTACCACGGTCTACCAACCACCACTCATACACAGAAAGACTTGTATCGGCTTTTAAACGATGACAAACAATAAAAAAATCGGTAAGCATGGCAATAAGAAAACAGGCCGTCGTATTCTCAGAACGGTGCGAATCAGAAA